GCTGGGTGTCAGTTTGGGGAAAAGGCAGCCTGGCCCAGGGGGAGGGGGCCAACTATGGAAACGACAGCGTTTTCCCCCAGGATCCCCAACTTGCACAACCAGGACATGGATCACTCCCCTCTCCGTTTCCACCCAGGCTATGCCCAAAGTGGGGCTGTGCTTTGTGGAGGCTGCCTCCGCCCCCCTCCCCCGTCTTAATAGCTGTAAGACTTGAGGGGGCTACTCCTTGAGGGGAGGTGTTCTCACTTTAGAAACATATCAGCCCGTTTGGGGCCAAGAAAGAATGCGAAAGAGAAAGTTCAGGAGGGAAAGGAATCGGGGGAGGGGAACGGCGGGGAACAGCGGGGTGGCGCGGCCTCCAGGGCTGAGCCCCGCGCAACTCCCGCTCAGTCGCTGTCGCTCTTGTCCACGAGCACGGCATCTGACTCCTCGGTGATCTCCAGCAGCGTGTGCACGTCGGGGCTGCTCCCGCGCAGCAGGTCGATGGCCTCGCCACGCTCGGCGCCGCCCTCCTCGTCGTCGGCGCCCACCTCCACCATCTCGGTGGCCTTCAGCACCTCCACCTCGCCCTCGCGGATCTTCTTGACGTGGAAGGTGAAGGGCGGCACCTTGTAGACCGCGGTCTTGGAGCGCGCGTAGACTACGTGGTCAGGAGTGAAGGACTTGCGCAGCTTCTCTCTCGAGGTCTTGAGCTTCTCGCGCCGCTCGGCGGGGACCAGGCGCGTGCCCAGCTTGTTCATGCGCTTCTCCAGCGTGTGCCGCGTCTTCTCTAGGTTCTCCTTGGTCTTGAGGCGGGTCTTCTCCAGGTTCTCACGGGTGCGCACCTTAGTCTTCTCCATCTTCTCCTTGGAGAAGGCCTTCTTGAAGTCGTCCACGCGCCTCAGGCCGCTGCGCTTGATGCGCTCGGCGCGCGACTCCTCGATGACCTCCTCCACCTCCACCGCCTCGTCCGACGACAGCTCGAGCACGGCCGCGTCCTCCTCAGGCCGCTCGCCCTCGCCCAACTCATCGCCCTCCTTCTCCCGCAGCGCCTCCGACTCTTTCAGCGACTTGCTGATGCTCAGTTTGGCGGGTAGTTTCACGTCATCCTAAAAGGAGAGCAGAAGGAAAAGATAAGAAGGGATGGGCCAGAGGTGGTTGGGGACTTGGGGAGACGCTGGGCGAACCCGAGGTGGGGGTAGGGGGTGGAGTGGGGGGTGAATCTGAGGATTGCGTGGGACCCATGAAATCGACCTGGACTTGGTCGTCATTGTATCCCCAGCGACACCTCGTAGGATCCCTATAAATGTGTCGAGTGAGTGGTAACTAGACATACAGGGCGAGGAGAGAACTGAGCTTCGGGTAGGAGACTGATCTGTAGCGTAATAGCACTTCGGTTAAACATCTCTATGGCCCTCCAACCCTGTCCCCGTGCCCTACATGCACTCTTCTCATATTACTAAACCTTTGCCCTGGCGTCCCGGGGATGGCAATTTAACTTTGGAAATGGACAGAGCGCCCTCTGGTGCACGAAGTCACACACTGCCCGAGCCAGGCCTAAAAGCAAAGGGGTTTGCGAAGCGTTTGTTCAGGTTGAGGGGACGTGGGAGATGAACTCACAGCCAGGCGACCCCCAAGTAGGGTAACTTGAAGGCAAGGTAAAGGGAGTGCGTTTTCCAAACTTGAAACCACTTCAGAACCAGTCTTAGGGAAGGAGAACGGTGGCCCTGCTCTCCCCCCAGCCCCCAACCTCTTCACACAGTTTGGCTCCACCAGTAGTCATTTCCCTCCAAGTAGAAATTCAGGGAAGAAAGAAGCAGCTGGCTGGCAGCCAAGGGCATGCTTTTCCCCCATCATAGATATTTCTTCTGGTCTGACTTCTCCACCTTGGAATGGAAGGGAGGGGTTACTTTTCCATTTTTGCTTTTCCCCCCCAGACTGGAGCCCAAGTGGCCAGGAGTAGCATGGTGGTCCTAGATTCCCGAAGATCCTGGAACTCAAAGCCAGTTCTTCCCTCCTCCCCTAGGAAGACATAGCATCAGCACTGTTTTCCATTCCAGGAAGTTTTTCCAAGATCCTGACTCTGGGCCAGAGTTTCAGAATCTCGGGATCACCACCCACCAGAAGGCAGGAGAGGCTGGCACAGAAAAGGAACAACGGCATAATTCAGAACATAATAGGGTTTCCTCTTTGGCCCAGACTCTCTTTAGAGACTTCAGATGAAGAAACGAGAGTTTTTATAAAGGTTTTTCTGAAGATCGTTTCCCAGAATTGTAAGAAAATTCCAACCAAGAGAAACGAGGCAACGTGAGCTGACCCTCTCATAAACATGCGAACACACACACACACACACACACACGTACACATACATTGGCCACTTGGTATCTCTGCGCCATCTGCCACAGAAATTCCTTCCATGGCCCCCGGCCTCTTTCCTCTTCCCTTCCATGCACAACCCCTCCCACCCCGAGTTTCCTGGTTTACACTGAAAGCTAGGAACACCACCTCCCAACTTCCTTCCCTCCCTGTCAATAGCATTAGCAGGAACAAAGAAGGAATGCTGGCTCCACTTCTTCTCCTAAACTGGGCACCAGCTCTTCTGGGCATCAAGCCACCTCAGGATCTCTATACTTGACTACACCTCCCAGCAGGCAAGGTGACCTGGACACAGGGCATGCTGGGATTTGTAGTCTCCAGTTGACATAGCTAGCTTAGTACTATTGTGGGCATCCTATGGCATTCTGTCTACCCGTCTGCCTTCCACCACTTACAGAGGCATTGAAGGTGTGTTTTCTTTGTTCTGAGTATAGGAGAGTCCCAGCATTCCCTTAGCATTCCCTCTGATGTTCAGTTGTATCCTTTGAGTCTCTTTTTGCAATCAGTATTCCCTGTCCAGTATTGAAGTCCTCTCTCTGTCACACCATTTTAGGACTCTAGGATCCAAACTCTCCACTACCTCTTCATCAGTCTCCACCCAAAATTTACCTGCAGCCCATATAAAAAAAAAAAAAAACAGCTCTGATCTCTCTTTCACAGCCTCCCAAAATAGAAACCCACAGACATGCCACCAAAGGGTGGAGGAGAACCCCTCCTTTTACTAAGCTCAGACAATGTGGATGGGCTAGGGAAGGATTAAGGGTGATGGGCGGGGAATAGTCAGGAAAACAGTCCCAGCTGCTGGAAAACAAATCCACATTGTCGCTCTGCCCCACCTCCAGCATCCCTGATTCTCCCCTCACCCCCCATTCCACCGCACCCCCTAAAGGCTGAGCTGGCTGGTTTTCCTGGCCTCTGGCTCCCTAGATAAAGGTCTCTGCCAACTGAGCTTGGAAGTGAATAGAGCTAGGGAGAGAGTTGTAGACTTCTTGTAGCAAATCCTGTCTTTTCAGTACCTGATGAAAGGTCTCAAATACATTAGGGAGCAGTTTATTTCTGGATTTGAGGGCATCTCCTCCAGTCCAAATAGGTACCTGGGACTATAACCCCATTCATTGTAGGTTTCCCCCCAGAATAATGGTTTACACCAGAGGAGCTGCCTTCTTGGTAGAAGGTCAGGGAATAGGGGAAGAAACAACTACTCAAGTCCCTGGACCATGTCTAGGGGGCTGGCTCTGGAGAGGATATACCACCATGACTTTTAGCTTTCCTCCTCCATTAATGAATTTTCTCTTTTCTTCCCCTTTCCAGGCCAGGTTTCCTCTATGACTCACAGCCTTGGAGCGCTGTCTTGGGCCCACCCAGTCTGCCTGTTGCTACAACAACCATAAACAAAATCCCAAAGCACCTCCCCCTACCCTGGGCACACAGACCAGGCACCCTTGTCCCACCCCTACTTCCCTGGCAGAGCTCCTGAACCAAAGGAGAGGCCTCAGGGGTGGCAAGCAGGGAGGGCTCTACTTGTTCTGTTTTCACATTTTTATTAAACAAAACCACCACTCCCAACAGGCTTGGTTTCCAGAGTTACCTTTAATGACCAGGTCTGAACAAAAGCATGCACAGCTTCCCCTGCCCCCACCAGGCACACACAGCTCCCCAACCCAGGAAGGCATCAGTCCAGGAAGTTCTCAGCCCCTTCCATTCCACTCCCCATCTCTGCTGTATAAACTTAAGATCCTTTGGCTTAGGAAGAATATTTTATTACGACTATAATTTAATTGAGCACCTACTATGTGTCTGGTCCTTGGCCAGGCACTTTTCACATCTGTCAGGGAGAAGAGTCACTGTCATAAAGCCCTGAGAGCAAACTAGCTCTGTCCCCAGTCACTGCCTGAGAATGGCCAGAGAAGATTTTAGAAAAGTAATTCAGAGATCCAGGATCTGCTCAGAGAGGATGTTAGGAGAGGGTGCGGACTGGGGTAGAGGTGAAAGAGAGGGAAAAATCTTTAAAACTCAGGCTATCCACTTTAGGTTGCCAAGACAAGAGGGTGAGAGGAATTGCAGGCAGAAGGTCCTTCTTTTCTGCTACAGGGTGATTCTCGATAGGGGCAATTTTGTCCCCAAGAGGGCAGAAATTGATTCCTGGGACAGGGGGAGTTAGATAATAATTCGTGGTGCTCTAAAAATTAGAGCATAAAATAGGTACATAAATAGATATATAGTATAACTGTAGTATTACAATTTCATGGGGGAGGGGACAATTAGGGGAAAATGTCTAAAAGGACTCCTAGGGGGATGATTATGAAAAAAAGAGAAAAAAAGTTGAGAAACACTGTGCTATAGGGAAGCCAGAGGATCCAAGCCAGAACCAGCTAAATGGTACCCGCTTCCGGCCTCTCAGAGTTGGCAGCTTTTGAGTGCCCCGCCCAAGGCAGGATCTGGCAAACATAAGGGATCTCTTTGCAAAACATTAAAAAAAAAGAAAGAAAGAAAGAAAGAAAACCCTGGAAAAAATAAGTGTCCATGTTCTCCCCAGCTACAGGGAGAGAGAGAGTGGTGAGGGCACAGAATAGACCCCAGGCCTGGGTCTCATGAGGGCCCTCTATAAAGAGGCTTTGAGTCAAACTGGCCTGCCCCTGAGAAGGAGACAGAAGGGTGAAGGGAAGGGGGAATCAGAAGCCACAGCAGTTTCATGCAATTTCATACAGGGCACACTGGGTGCAGCTCAAGTATGGTGTTTGGAGTGTCTACTATTAAGACAGAAACGAAGATGTAGGAGAGGTCTCCTTCCCTTCACCTCCCACCCCATTGCATACACCATATTTGCCTGAACTCTGCATAATGTGAGAGTGTTTCACAATACCCATCACCCACCCACAAGGGGCAGCTTGGAAGAGGCCGGCTATTCCGTACTGACCACCACTAAGCAGTGGGCTGATGGTGGACTTGTAGTAACACTCCATACCCACAGCCCCATGGGACCCAGGAGACTCTAAGTGCTCCCACCAGCTGACGGCTCCTTTGGAGTGGGCAGAGGCACAGGTTCTGGGTAATAGGGCAGTGCCCTAGGCATCTGGTCAAAGGGTGGGAGCTCAGGCACTGTCTCAGGCTTCAGGTCAAAGGGCTCAGTCTCAGGCAGAAGGTCAAAAGGCACGATCTTGGGTGTGGCCAGGTCAGAGGGTGCTTTCAGCTTCTTCTTGGGCTAAGATGAGGAAAAGGGGTTTAAATGGGGCTTGGGTGCAGGTGGGGTTGAGGGAAA